ATCTATGGAAATTTGATTTTAAGTCTCCTCTGGACGCATATAGATTAATATCGGCTTCAACCTATTAAAAAAAATGTTGTCTGTTAGATTTCAATTTTCGATAGAGTACTGAATCCTTATTATTATTTTTATAATTATATGACCCATGAACAATTCTTTTCAAGTAATTATACCCACAGCCATATGGCCGTAGAGGGTATATATCATTTGATACGGCCGAAACGTGTCTCATCGAAATAACGGTTAAGACCCTAGGTCTTGTTGTTTCAGGACATTTGGAGTCGATCTAGCAATGCCCGTCCGTCCATCTGTATGTCTGGTTGGCTGTTGCGCACGATAAGTCTCCAAGGGAGCAAAATAAAAAAAAAACTGCAACGTACTCAAACGCCATAATTTTTACATTTTTTTTAAATTTTATTGAATGAAAGCAAATATGTCGGAAATAGCATCAAATTTTAGAATAAGTTTAGATTTGTTCGAATTGGTCACCTTTGGCACGAATTATGGCCTTCAAACGGCCATTGAAACAGTCACAGACTACCCGAATGTTTCTCAGCGGTATTTTAACCCATTCCCGGCGAAGCGCATGCTTGAAGTGATCGACACTTTGGTATTTTTTTTAGTGCCAACCTTGCTTTCCGTAATACGGAAATTTTGGTGGCCATTGTGCGCTGGAAATTAAGCGAGGAACCTAAATTTGGTACCATTATTGGGTGGCGCGTGCTGAGTGCGATGGTGCTGAGTCCTATTGGAATGTTCAAGGTCTGCGGCCTAAATGTTTGCTTGCCTCCAGAATATTTTCGCATTTATTCTGATGCCACGGTCGATTAATACGAGCGGAGAGAGAGCGACCATTGGCGGCCCACACAATCACCATGGCCGGCGCTTGAATTCTGATGGCCAACCGAAGGTGCACATTTTCAGCTGACCTCTTTGGCAAGTTAAGACGATCATTTTGTTTGTTTACAAACTGCTGGACAACGATTTTTTTCTCATCGGAGAAAACGAAATTCGGCAGTTCACAACTTTCGGCCACGTAAAGCAACTCTTTAGCTCTTTTGAGTCTATTTTCTTTCTGTTGCGGTGTAATTTCTTGCCCTTTTTGGAATTTCAATGGCTTTACCTCGAGCTCATTTTTCAATATTTGCCGAATGGAATATTGCCATATGTTCAGCACACGATCCATTTTTCGGCCACTGCGACGCGGGTTTCGATCAAGTCGCTTCTTTACTTTTCGAACCATTTCTGCTGATGTTGCTGTTTTCTTCCGTCCACTTCCACGGTAACGAGTAACGAGCGATGGTACGAGACACAAAAGATTTATTCACATTTAAATGCTGAATGCTCTAACGATAGCCACTTGTGGTTTTCCAGTCAAATATAAAGAGATCTCACTATCACGCTTGAATTCCATCACGAATAACTTTTTTCTGGAAAATTCTCATCAAAATGCTTTTGTACGCTTGTAAATAATAAAATGAGCTGTCACTGGAATAATTTTAACAGCTTTCGGACGAGTGGCTAAGAAATGAACGCAGTCTGAAATTGGTTGCAGCTTTTTCATCTAATCGTATACTGTAATTAGAATTTCATTTTTCATAAAGAATTCGTTTTTTCGTCCTTAATGATTCTTTATCTATTCTCTATCTATTCGCTCGTCTAACAAGACCCCTTTGTAAAAGAAAACAATTTGCAAAAAAGCTTTCTTCATTGGATTTAACCCTATAGTTTTAGTTGTCTTCTTTATCCCAAAAATCCTATTTCTAGAATGTGACTCATTGAAGCTCATCCACCAATGTTCCAGAATTTCAATAAATTCCATCTTTTTTTACTCTATGATTCACTTAAATGGGCCTTGTGTAAGGCTTGATGCAAAAACAATACCCAATTTTTTCTCCTCCCCTATGTCGCTACCGACTGCTTTTATCGACGTTCCTTATAAAAATACGAAGAAAAAAGGGTCACCAAGGTACATTTATTTACATTTAAATGGTTTTAGGTCATTGAGTTAATTGGTTGTTGTGTGACATTGTTAAAAATAGCACATGAAGATGTGTCTCATCAATCGAATTCAATGATTTGTGTTCGTCACTCAGGCAGGCAGTCAGTCAGTCTCTGTGCACATGGTTATCACAAAGCAGCACATTGGCATCGATTGAATGTAGGGAAGAGCATTCAATTGGTTGTGTCGAGTGCATTTGTTCTAAAACGGGAATTGAAACAATATAATTTTTGGGTGGGAGATTTTCAGATTAATTTGAATTTTATCAAAAAAAAAAAAAAAAAAAAAAATTAACTGATTCAAAGTTTTTGGAAATAATCAGTTGAATCAGTTTTTTGTAAATAATTTTTCTGCCATAAATCACCGGCTGGCGTTTTCGTAAAAGAAAAATAATTGTTTTTTGAGGTAATTTAGTTTAAGTTTTAGCCGAAATTTAAATAAGTCATGACTTATGCCAGAAAAAGTTCCCATATGCATTTTCGACTTTAAAGTCGAGTTGAATTTCGAAATTGAACAGCATGTGTCGAAGACTGTACAAAATCTGTGTATAGTTTATAATTTTCGTTTCTTTACATCATTTCACTCGCATTTCCAGAATATTTTTCCATACTTATTTCCATACCCTACAAAAGAAAATTGCGTTGATAAAAAGTGACACCATATAATGGTCTTGTTGTTTATCATCATACTTCACCACCAGCTGCCATGTTACCCACATCACATGTACTTCCTTTGTGCTTATTTTTTATTTTTTTTCTGAACTTTTGTCTGAGAACAAGTGGGTACAGTTTGAATATTTCATAATAGTCAATGACATCAAACACTTTTTGAATATAGTGATTATTTGTTGGAATAGGCCTTAGGTTCTACTTTGAACTTAAAAAGCCAAACTTTAAATGAAAATAAGAAAATTGAAGCTCTAGAGAGATTACAACTGATGGACATGAATTGAATGACACCAAATTACTTAGCAAAGAAGATTGGGACCTTCCGTAAAATGCCTAAAAATGTTTGATGCTCCAGGTTGCTAATTTTAAACTAAAAGAATTTTTTTATAAATAAGGTAGCGGGCTTTGTATGATGATACCACAGTGGTGGCGAATTTGAAAGAAACAAGTAGAATAGTATCAGTCGGGTTTTCCGACAGATGTATACCCCCAGGCCTTGAGTTATGATTATTCAAACTGTTAATTCTTTATGGGGGAGGTTCCGAAGCAGTTGGACAATATTGACCAGTTCGTATCTGATCTAAGATTAATATAAATATCACAACATGCCGGATTTGGGGTATATCGACTACTTCTTATACTTTATGTGAATAAGAGCAAATTTTTTGAAAATTTGGAAATATGTGTGAGGTACCAGATATATCGAGCCGAAGTATTCCATTTCCATACTTCATCTAATACAGATAAAAATATTCCCATGAGCAAAATTTGAAGGCAATCGAACATCTATATCCAATTTTATGCCAAATTATGAATTCTGATAAATTACATATTCATATCAGATTTCTGGTTAAGGGAAATATTTATTTCGCAAGTTATGGCAGACAAAAAAAAAAAGTATTGGAAATTGTGATTCTTTGTGGGTGTGGGTACTAAAAAGGGGTTGGCAGATGTATATCATCTTCACAACAGATCTGCCGTTAGCAAAAATATTTGGATATGTGAAATTTGAAGAGAGTTGGATGCTTATTTCGATTTCTCTGGGCTTTTTGTTTTTCAAAATCTAGAACCCTATGTGGGGGAGGTACCAGAAGAAATAGTGCGATCTCTACCATCTTTATAAAACATCTTGTGTTGATGGGAATATTGAGTAGCACCAAGTGTGAATGGAAGCGGACGTTATTTTCGCGTTCTAAGAGCTTTATGGGCGCTCTAAATGTTGAACCTTTGTGGGGGATGTACCAGAATAATTGGACCGATATATCCCATCCTTACACCGGAGCGTGGTTTAACAAATATATTGTGATGTGTGAAATATAAAGAGAATCAGATGCTTATTTCGGATTTTATAATAGTTTTTATAATTCAAAACTTTGACCCCTTGTGGGAGAGGTACCAGAGGAAATAGTCCGATCTCAACCATCTTTATAACAGATCTTGTGTTGATGGAAATATTGAGATGTACGAAGTCTGAATGCAATCGGACCTTATTTTCGCGTTTTAAGAGCTTCTTGGATACTTAAAATGTTGACCTTTTTTGGGTAGTGTACCAGAAGGAGAGAACCGATATATCTCATCTTCACACCAGACCTTGGATTAATAAATAATATTGTGATGTGCATGATTTGAAGACAATCGGACTCATACATCACATTGTATGAGAGTTATAATTATTCAAAGTCCTAACCCTTTGTGGGGAGGTACTCAATAGAGTGAACCGATATTGTCCATTTTCGCACCTGATCTGGCACTGATGCCAACATTAGGATTTGCAAAGTTGAAGCAAAATCGGATTGTCCTTTTCCTTTCTGTGCATTAATTTATTTTCTATGAAAAAATTGACATTTTGTGAGGGAGGTACCCGAAGTAGAGGACCGATATTGCCCATCTCCGAACTCGATCTAAATTTCAAAATAATATTACGATGTACCTAGTTTGGATCAAATCGGATACTCTTTTCGAGAGTTATTGTGCGCACCAGTCAGCCAAACAGACGGACGGACATCGATAGATCGACTCCATATGTCCTGAAACGAATTTGGTTTTTGGCCGTATCAAATGATATATATCCTCCCTAGCCATATGGCTGAGGGTACAAAAATCTCAATTTCATTTCTAGAAAACGTTTAATATTCTTTTCAAAGGTTACATTTATTTCAAATCGTCATCGGTGTACTACATTTTTCCTCCATTGCGATCAAAAAAAAAAAAAAAAACATTTTCTTATTAAAAAACATTTTCTTAAATTATATTTCTGTATTTAAATGATTTCAAAATATTTTGATTTTTTATTAATTAATTTCCCTTTTCTTCTCTCCTTTTCATTGCAGGCCAAGGAAATTCTTTCCAAGGAATCAAATGTTCAAGAAGTCAAATGTCCTGTAACAGTATGCGGAGATGTTCACGGTCAATTTCACGATCTTATGGAACTCTTCCGGATAGGTGGCAAATCACCCGATACAAATTATCTGTTCATGGGTGATTATGTCGATCGTGGCTATTATTCGGTCGAAACTGTTACACTATTGGTTGCCCTCAAGGTGCGCTATCGCGAGAGAATCACCATTTTGCGTGGCAATCATGAATCCCGACAAATCACTCAAGTTTATGGCTTTTACGATGAATGTCTGCGCAAATATGGCAATGCCAATGTTTGGAAATATTTTACCGATCTGTTTGACTATTTGCCACTGACCGCCTTGGTTGATGGCCAGATATTCTGTTTACACGGTGGCTTGAGTCCATCGATCGATAGTTTGGATCACATCCGCGCGCTGGATCGCCTGCAAGAGGTGCCGCATGAGGGACCCATGTGCGATTTGCTATGGTCCGATCCCGATGATAGAGGTGGCTGGGGTATTTCACCACGTGGTGCTGGTTACACCTTTGGTCAAGTTAGTTTATTGTTTTATTTAACTACTTCAACTTTTAATATATATTTTTTGTTTTTCCCGCAGGACATTTCGGAAACATTTAACAGCACAAATGGCCTAACATTGGTATCACGTGCCCATCAATTGGTCATGGAAGGTTATAATTGGTGTCACGACCGCAATGTTGTCACAATTTTCTCAGCGCCAAATTATTGTTATCGTTGTGGCAATCAAGCGGCCCTTATGGAATTAGACGATTCACTTAAATTTTCATTGTAAGTGTGCAACAAGTGTCCTATATACAGCTTTATTATTATTTATTTTTCAATTTACCACTTCAATATGAAGTTTTTGGATTTCTATTGATATTTCCATTATCACCACTTTGTGAGACAGTTTATCATTTATTTTATTTAAATGCACTTGATTTGTTTTGCCATTTTCTATTCTATCTCTCCTCCGTCTGTCGCACCACCCCCAAAACATATTCATTACTGCAGTGTTTTTTATTATCTAATCTGGAAATTTATTTACTATTTATCGTTGTGTTTATATTTTAAGAATTTGCCGTAATCATTTATTTAGAAGTCTACGTGAGATTGCCTTATTTTTTTTATCAGAAAGTCTATTATCACAACTACTACCATTACTATTATTGTTATTATTATTATTCCCCTTACTGATAAGTCCACCTGCCATTTTTTCGCATTCATACTGAAACTGCAAAAATTATATTTCTTAACCCATGTATTACTAATGGGGAAAGTACCTGGGTATATCTGGGATTTATGTGAAACGTTTTATAAATGAGAGGAAAAATACGAATTCAGAAAAATACCATCTAAAAGCGAAGTGCGTGGAAGGCTAATAGTCATTTATATGGTTGACCAAATTATATACATTTTGAGAAATAATTATGTCTCTTTCCGATCAGGGGTATAAGCATGTCTTCTTTTAAAAAATCGGGAAATTTGAGTGGATATGAGTTTCTTAGACTGCTAAGATTTATATACCTATTAGATTTTATTTTTTTTACAACGAAGTAATTCTATGATTGACGACTATAAATTTGTCCTCGTTTTAGAGATCAGTTGATCAAATTCAAACCAAATAACTATCTCCTTTAAACCGTATGTTAGCAAAAAGCACATTCGAGTTGGATTTCAAAAATTAAAAGCGGGACTTGAAGACTATGAAAATTCTTGTTTATTTTACAATGATTGTTTCTTTACTACATTTCCAGAATATTTTTCCATACATATTTATTCCATACAAAAAGAGTTAAGTTGATAATAAGTGACATCAGAATGGTCATCACTCCACCACCAGCTGCAATGTTACCCACATTACTACAACTTCTTTGTGCTAAAATCCGAGTGCATGGAAGATTAATAGTCCTTTGTATGGTAGACCAAATCATATAATTTTTGGGGAATATTTGTTTCTCTTTTTAATCATGGGAGAATGCACTAACTTTTGTCTAGGAGAGAATTGAAAGATCAGTGAATGGGTCTTCCTTTAGCTTCTTCATATAGATCATAATTAGAGCTTCTTTTCGAAGATCAGAAAGTCTTCTTAAATAAAATTTGGAGAACTTCTGATTGAAGTCGAAAAATTGTCAGATAGTACACCTTCAAGTATTCGTGTTCTACTGATATAATATTAGAAGGCATTCCGGTGGAAGACCAAGTGGTCTTCTGACTATGATATATGGATAAATATTGCAGACCATTAGGCCCTCTTAGGTTTTGTTTTTGAAGAGCAGGAGTTCATCTTAAAGAAGATCAGAAGGTTTTATGATTGTAGTGCGAAAGGTTATCAAAAATGACACATGTAGGTATTTATATTCAAGATTATGGGATCTTTTGATAGAAGATTAGATGGCATTACGGAAAAAGACCGACTTTCTGATGCCTTAAGAAAAAGTGCAGAAGTTTTTTCGTTATAAGAGACCATTGGGTTCACTTATGGAGGAAAATAAGCTTCTATTTTCGAAAATCGAAGAGTTTTCCCTAAGAAGGACACACTTTATTTTGATAGACGTCCGAAAGGACCATTTGGTATTCATGTTCAAGAATATGAGATCTATTAATATAAGATCAGAGGGTATCCGGTAGTCTTCTGGTTTTCTGATCTATAGATTAAAAGTATAGAAGTGTTTTTTTTATAAGAGACCATTACATCCTCTAGGACTTACCTTCGGAGATTTTCTTAAGGAAGATGCGAAGGTCTTTTTATAGAAGTCCCATTAGGTATACATATTCTATATTTAAGATCTATTGATAGGCCGAATGCTCTTCCGACTTTCTGATTCACAGATAAAAAATACAGACGTTTTTTTATTAGAGACCAGTTGGTTATCTTATGGTGCACATTTAGGTTTTCGTATAGATAATAATTAAGTCTTTTCATAAAGGCAATATGGATTTCTTTTTGAAAATCAGAAGGTTGTCCTACGAAAGGCCGAAAGATTATCGGATAGTACACCATTGGGTTTTTATTTTTAGGATCATAAGATCTATTCATAGAAGATTATGAGGCATTCTGAAAAAAGGCAAAAGAACTGATATGGTAGAATACAAAAAGACCTTGTTAATAAAGGACGAAGCGGTTTTCTGATATAATAGCAGAGGTTCTAAATTGTATAAATTGTATCAAAATTTCCAAAAACCCTAACTGTATAATATAAACTTTTATATTAAAGCATCCTCTAAACGATTTGATCAAAATGATTTAAATATTTTCCCCCATTTCCTATTCCATTTACAGCCTACAGTTCGACCCAGCACCAAGACGTGGAGAGCCCCATGTTACACGAAGAACACCAGATTATTTCCTTTAAGAGAAATTACCTACAACAACAAGTAAAACAGCAGAAAATCCGAAACATTACAACAACAAGAACATTTACATTTATTACTATATAAAATACTAATGATAATAAAACAAAAAATAAAAAATAATAATACAAAAAGAACAACAACAACAAATGCAGAAATGCAACAAACAACTAGTAAGCATTATCATCAAGAATACGACGAACAACCCGATTGTAGAGGAAAAAACGCGAACGCTGATGGCAGAATGGAAGGAAAAGGAGAGAGAAGAAGAAGAAGGAAAATGATGAGAACGAAGTAGGCCGAAGATGAAAAGAATGCATTGATGAAAAAAAATGGAACACAGTGAAAGTAAAATAAAATAAAAAACAAATAAAAACAGCAAAACAAAATTAAAAACATAATTTATATACAATTAGTTACAACAAAGCTGTAATTTAGAAAGTAACAACAACAACAAACAAACAAAATAAAAACAAAAGAAAACTTAATAAAAAAATAGAGAAAAACAATTAAATTATACAAAAAATGCGAGTAATTTTAAACTACACCAGAGAAAAACAAAACAAACAAACCAATCGTTAAACTTTAAGCCAAGCAGTTATTTTTGATTTTTTCTAAAACAAATACCATTTACGAAACCCCTGCCCTACACACCCACACATACACACACTCAACAGTAAAACTATGCCTTAACTTCCGAACCGAAAATCATTGTGAAGAAAGGAAAATTAGGAGTTTTAAGGAAAAAATAAAAAAGTAAGGAATGTTAGGCATGTTGTTCGTTTCGATGATGAGACACTATCACACACACAACCACTTCTCCCTCCCTCCCAATCAATCCCTGACGAGTATCCAAAGGCTGAAAGAAGACAAGTTACGAAGCAAACTGCTGTCCCACTACCACTACCACAGAGATCGAGATGGGACTTTATTTCTAAAGCTAATACAAAAGAAAACAAAATAAAGGCAAGCAAATTAATTAATTGTTTTAGCTGGCTGGCTCAATATGTGAATTATACAAACAAAGAAACAAAATAAAGCCCGTTATTAATAACAATTATAATTGAACATTTATTTATATTTAAGCAAAGAAGAAAATATTAAATAAATAAAAACAACAACCATATGAGAAAAAGAACAAAAAAAGCTAAACAAAAATAGTTTGTACTTTTAAAATGAGGGCGAAAGCGAGGCGCAAATACTACTACTGGAGGAATATAGAAAAAAAAAAAAAAACAAAAACATACCCCAAATCCTGATGACTGTTTTCCAACAGCAACAAAAAACAAATAGTTCCACCACATTCTATTAGCAAATATCACTAGATTCTTTATCATCACCATCTATCAACATTATTCTACGCGGATTTTTCTTCAATGCAGCAATACCTATTTATCAGTAGAGATCATCACCTCATCAAAAATGAGAAAAAATGCAGCAGCCAATCATTCATCCATCCATCCATCAATACTTTCGTTCGTCATATCATCTCACATCCTGCCTCCATTCATGCATCGTTCATTCATTCGTCACCATAAGATAATGTTAATTTTTTCTTTTTTTTTTGTTTTGAAACAAAGTAAAATCTACTTAAAACTGTTTAGAGAAAAAACCAACAACAACATAACATAAACAAAAAACAACAACAAATTGCAAATAAAATGTGAAAACAATTACAATTTATTAATTAAAATGAACAAAATAAAAACAAAATTATATATACATTATATTTTATTGCTAAATAAGGCGAATAAAATATTAAAAATAAAAAACAAAACCAGAAAAACTATAATACATCTAAAATATATTTAAAAAATTTTATTTAAAATAAATAATGACTTTTGATTCTTTATGATATTTGCTTTTTCTCACCAAAACACTCACTCACATACTACATACATACATACATTTAAAGAAAAGCAGAATAACATTTTCAATCTAAATCATGTTACAACACAAACACACACACACCTACATAAATATATACACTCCTTTTCTTACATTTTGTATTATCATATATATAAATATTAGCGATTCTTTTGTATTTTTCTATACATATAGAAGGTGATCATCCCACTTTTTTTTCCAAAAAAGAAGAGAAAAACATTATTTTTTTTACAAATTTAATTTAATTTAAAAATTTGTGCCATTAAAGCTTTAACATTGCTGCGCGAACACATTTATATGTTTTCTACTCTTTTTTCCTAAACTCTTTCTTTTTTTTAATAATTTAAATTTGTTTTCTTATACAAACATACGAAATATTATATTTATAAATAAAAATTATGAAAATTTTGGAATTTTTTGATAAGTAAAATAATAAATAATAATAATAAAATTTTTGTTTACAATAAATCCACAATAATGCTGAGGAAATATATTTGATTTTATACCACGCCAAGACAATGTCCTATAGGGATAAAAAATGTTTGTCCCGATAGGTTACTACTCTTAAGTGTAAAATTCATCAGCAAAGTGACACATCCTAATGTTCTTCCGATTATATTGAAGATGCACGTTTTTGAAAATGAAATGTAAAAAAATCAATTTTTTAAACCCGAGGAAGAATTCATTAACAAATATCGACAAAATCTATGTTAATATACCACGAAATTGTCTTCTCGTATTCTACTCCTGGGTTGAATATTAAGCCCAGATGTAAAATTTATCAAGGAGTTTCCACATTCATTTAGAGAAATTTTATTGAGATTAATGTACTTCCGATTATATTGATGATACACGTTTTTTTAGAATGAAAAGTGAAAATATCCTTTTTTAAAACCCAAGGATGAATTCATAAACAAATTTCTACGAAATCTATGTCAATATTCCACGAAATTGTCTTCTCATATTCTAATCCTGGTAGCTTCAGAATCCAGCTACTAGTGTTGAATTTTCTCTGATAGAATATTTCCAATTGGCTTGTATTTAATCCCACTCGTATAGAAAAATGAACGAAATTCTCTTTTTATTAAAAAAAAACTTCAAAATTAAATTATTTAGAATTCCAAACTTGTTTAAAATTGTAGAAAAATTCGATAGCATTTTATAAGATGACCCTAATTCAATATACTATATTTTTATACTCCCCACCATTCTATGGAGAGTATATTAACTTTGTCCGTTTATAATCTCATGTAAGACCTCGAAATACTCATGTAAGACCCAACAAAGTATATATATTATTAAGCAGCGTAAAATTCTAATTCGATTTAGCCATGTCCGCCAGTTGTTATCTCGCTATCTTTCGAACGAATTCAGATAGAAGGCTAAAAGTGTATTTTGCCGGTCAACGTTTTCATATAACCCCCATATAACAGTACCCCCTAATATTCGGTATTTTGATGATTTTAGCGGTATTATTTACCGGAATGGTTTCAAATTTCGTGTAATAGATTTCGTAATAGATACTACAGATTATTAGAATCGAATATGCAGGTCCACGTCTTCATATAGTCCCCTACTTATATTCGGTATTTTGATGATTTTAGTGACACTCTTTTGCGGAATTGTTTCAAATTTCGTAGTTAAAGTTTGTATTGGATACTACAGCCTACGATAGAAAATTGCTTTTAGCGGCATTACTCACCGGAATTATTTCAAATTTCGTATTCGTAAGTTCGGAATCGGTACTACAGCCTATAATAAAAAATTGCTCACGTAAGACTAGACCACACTTCGTAAAACCTTAAATTATGGGGGTTTCATTTGAGAGGTGTTTTTTACGGATTTTTTTTAACATTTCAAGTTCCTTCAAAATGGTGGAGGTATTAAAAGTTCGGCCCGGACGAATTTAGTTGCTTTTTTACTTGTTAGCAGTGCGCTAAGGCTGAATGATATGGACGACTGTTATAAATGTTAAATCCTTGGACTTAAAGTATGTTTATACTCCCCACTGCAGTATGGAGGGTATATTAAGTTTCTCATTCCGTTTGTAACTGCTCAAAATAAAAAAAATATTGACCCCATAAAATATATACAGGGTGAGATAAAAAACTACAACCAAGAGAAACGTCATAATTTTTACATTTTTTTTTTAATTTTATGAAAGAAAAATATATCGGAAATAGCATCAAATATGAGAATAAGTTTAGATTTGTTCGAATTGGTCACCTTTGGCACGAATTATGGCCAATGAAACCGTCACACGCTGCCCGAATGTTGCTCTGCGGTATTTTGGACCATTCCAGGCGAAGCGCTTGCTTGAGGTGATCGACACTTTGGTATATTTTAGTGCCAAACTTGCTTTCCAAAATACTCCAGACACAATAGCCCAACGAATTGGTATCCGGAGATTTTGGTGGCCGTTATGCGCTGGAAATGAAGCGAGGAAACTCATTTTGTAACCATTTTTGGGTTTGCGCGTGCTGAGTCCTGTTGGAGTGTCCAAGGTCTGCGTGACCAAGGCTTTAATACACCCTCTAGAATATTTTCACGATAATATTCGCCATTTATTCTGATCCCACGGTCGATTAATAAACGTCAAATGTTAGTGTTAGACCCAAGTTATTTTTGTCTAAACTTTCTCAAAGAAAGATGAAGCTCAAGTTAATGTCGAATAAAATGTAATGGATTGTGAGAGTTAACCCTTTGAGTAAAATTGATTTTTTAACTTCAGTGGGGGTCATTTCCAAATCGTAATCATTAATCTTTTTATCACAATGTTAGAATCTATCAATTTGTATTAATCAAGGTAATTCATATATTTATATTTCAAAAGTTTAATTTTATTTTGTTAACATATCCATCAAAATTTAAAATCCTCGCTTTCAATATCGTATGCGCGCTCTTCTATTTCTTTCATCTCTTTTCTATAAAAATAATACCTTAAATAATAAAAACTACAAAAAAATAGCCACACAACAAATGAATTATATATTTTGTATTCGTAAACAATAATAAATTATAATTAAAAAATAACTTTTTTAAACAAACGATAGAATTTTCGTATTGTTATTAAAATTTAACCTAATTTTTATATTTTTTTGAAAAACAAATTTTCCAAAATTATGGCAAATAGCTAAGGCTGCTAGACCAAATTTGATGAAGTTTTGAAAGGGCTTCCCTTTTAAAAAATTACAAAAAAAAATCCATTTTAGTCTTGCATCCTTGGCAAAACAAACAAACGAACCTCCTTTCGTACATTATTGAGATGATCGATGATAATAAATAATATTAATTTATAATTATAACAAAAAAAAAAAATTGAAGAACAGAACAAAATAAAAAATCCTTAAAACTAATTACTTATTTTCTTTATTTTCAGAGTCAATTTTCTGCGGCTGCCAGAATTCAGGCACAAAAACAATCAATTTTTGAACTCAATAAATAATTTCTTCATTGCTGCAGTTATGCAGATTATTCTAAGTCAACGGATTTGTACTTCATAATATCAAAAAGGTAAATATATATTTCTATACTTATAACAAGTAAAATAGTATCAGTCGGTTTTACCGACAGATGTATGCCCCCAGCCGAGACTTATGATTATTCAAACTGTTGACTCTTAATATGGGAAAAAATATATGTATGTGGGAAATTTGAGGAGATGGATTGATTTGGATCCATACTTCGCTTTCTTTGAGCGTTTTGTTTTTTTCAAAATCTTTTATGGAATCGGACGTTATTTCCGCATTTTATGAGATTCATGGATACTGCCAGAAGGAGTGCACCGATATATTCAATTGTCTCTCCAGACTTTGGGTTAATAAAAATATTGTGATGTATGTAATTTGAAGAGAACATCAGTCTTTTGTGTGCAGGACGGTCAACTTCGAAGATGGCCTATATCGGTCGTATGACCCCCATATAACGGTACCCTATATAATCGCTATTTTGATGATTTTAGTTACATTTTTCAATGAATGAAATTGTCTGTGTTTTGTTCTGTTCTTTGTGGGTACTTTATCGCCTGTAAGAGAATTGCCCATATATGTTCACGATATCGCAATTCCCGCTTGTAACAGTACCTCCTGATATTTTCCAACGGAATTGTCTGAAAATCCTCACAAGGAGTCCCTTCTGAGAAATTAGCCCACTGGAAGAGAATTGTTTATATAGGTCCACGATATCGTATATCCCCCATATAACGGTTTTCATTTTAGCGACATTTTTGACGTTTTTTTTTTAATTATTTAAAATCCTTCGGAGAGTATTAAAAGTTCGATGCGGCCGAACTTATTTGCTTTTTACTTCTATAATAGTTTAGAACTCTTCAAACCTTTCTAATATTATGGTCCTACATTGTGGTCTACATATACCTATGGACCCACTATATTGCTGGGTCACTGATTTAAACTTGATTTCGAAATGAATCCTTTTGGGGAATGGTTCCAAAAAATCCAATTTCATGTTACATAGTTTATTTCTTGACTTACGGACATCGGACTAATCGCACATCCAATCGTTCTCCTGTAGTATACCACTACCGGAGCTTTGGCATTGTTGAGATTATAATCAGGTGGCAGGAATTTCTACAATTAATTCTTATGGTATATTTGTCAAAAGTGTAAATTCTGATTGACTGAAGCGCCATCTGGTTAGTTGGCTATATGTAGGCGGGAGTTCCTATAGTGTGGGAATAATACTATGAGTATGTGAACCAAACCTTGTATTTCTTCGAGTAGATGTTGCCTCGAGCATTTCAAAACTAAACATCTCAACATGCGATGCACTAGGAATAACACTGGTTTCTGGATCCCAGCATTCCCAACTTCGTTAAGTGGGGAATGCGGTGTACGGTCCGAATATAACTGTCATGGTTCTTCAATAGGCAACTATTATCAAGGATGGGCTCAGCCTAAAATGAACACTTTTTTCAAGTTTATATTCAATATTATGTGCATGGTAGAATTAAGAAGGAAAAGTCATGCAATCATAGGTTTACAATTTTTTTTCAAAATTATTAATTTGACAATATTTCATTGTCAAATTCTATGTTTATAAATCTATTGTACATACACAAATCAGAGATGGGAACCTGTGTTCTATGCAGTGAAATTTGACAATGTAAACCACAAAAATGTAGATGGATATGAATACTTGAAATGTGTTCGTAAAATCCACAAGTACACAGGCCTTATACCGGCATCTACATTGGCAAGGCAAGACACTTTCTCAAGAAATAATTTCCAAATCTATCAAAAAACGCTATTTTCGGACTTGATCAATTTTTTTTGTATATTCACCAAATTATTTGGTGGGTTTATTTTTCTTAATCATATAAAAGTTTGAATTTACGCAAAAATAATAAAATTTTGATTAGAATCGCGATATGATAAAGTGACCAACTCCCAGGTGGTATTTTATAACCCCCATCTGAGATTTTATTCTTCTT